TCAGCACAGAACTCTGGCTGGTGGAAGCTGGGAGAAAGGAAGCTGCAGTTCACGCCAGATGCTTGGGCATCTTTGATGTGGCTTAAGCTGCTCTTGGGACTAGCCATTGCTTCCGAGCTCATGCAAGGAATGGTCCAAGAGGTCTTTTTGGTTGAGCATCCCCAAATCTTCGGTATTAAAATTGCCCGCAAATAATCCTTGGGTTTAATAATAAGCTACCCATAGCTCCAACCACCAAACAACATTTTAAGTGGCACACAAGGAGTAAAAAGAAAACCTTCCAATTCACAAACATTAATTATATCTAGACAGTTGGCAGGACAGAGGGTGGAGAGTCTGGAAGCTGTATTCTTGTTGCCTAAATGTGACCATGTCTGCACTTTACATTTTCTGAGATATATTACTTTCTTGATATTGTCTCTAAATTGCTAGCTCATCAAAGCCAATGTCAAGCTTCTTGTTCCTCCTGTATAGCAGTTGTTCTCAGTCCTGGCTTTTTCCTTGGGATCACCTCGGGAGCTTTACAAAATGCTGAACCCCAGGCAGCACTCCAGAACAGTTAAGCTGTAATCTCTGGAGAGGGGACATGTGTCAGGAGTTTGTAAAGCTCCTTGGGTGATTCCAGTGATCAGCCAGGGTGGAGAGCTACCGCGGTAGAGGATTTGGGGGGAGGAGGGCAGTGGAAAGGGGAAGCTAGGAGGTAGATGAAATCTTCCACAAAGTTCAAGCATGGAGGACTTGGCAGGATGCTGACCGACAGTTAGCAGGTTGCAGTTGCTGCAGCTGATGCCCATCACTCCCTGATAACTCTCCAGCAGAGGTTTAGTTTCCTCAAACTATATATTAAGTTGGATTTTCAACTATTTGCCATTGTCTAAGCTTCTTAGCTGAAACTGACCAAAAGATCTCATTGAGACCTTAAGAAAGTGAAGGGGACACTGAGGTAGGCAACAACAGAGAGCTATTCAAGTAGGCTTAACCTCATGGGGTCCTCAGAAGAACCCCTAGTTCTAGCTAACTTGATGCTGGTTGGTCTGGGGTTCTGGGGTCATGGTATAGACATAAGATGGATTATAATATGGCAAGTTCCAGTCAAGCAGGCAGTCCACAGTAGTAGACTGACTCTGGGTTGATCCTCTCACTTGGCCCTGGATCCCTCACCCCATGGGGAGATTGCAGATGGAGGAGAGCCAGAGTAGACCCTCTAAAGCAGTGATTCTCAAGCTTAGGTGTGCACAGAATCACCGGAGGGATTGTTAAAACACAGACGACAGGGTCTCACTCAGCATTGCTAGGTCTATGGTGGAGCCTAAGCATTTGCACTTCTAATAAGTTCTAAGATATTGCTGATACTACTAGAGCCCACACTTTGAGAATCACTGGCTTAAACATGAGATCCTGGACAGACGAGGGTTGTCCTGGTCTAGAAGAGGTACACCAGACTTCAAGAGTATTCCATCATGCCCTGGAAGAAGGAATAGAACATGGGTCTGCAATGAACTTGGCTTTATTTTCATGCACTTGTAAAAGGGTGAGAGCCATCTGATTAAGTGATTACCTCATGAGAACAGAGAGGGTTTTAAAATAGATAGGCATTTGGGTTGCTTGTCCCTCATATCTTTGCATTAGAAATTGGTAATATTTAAATCAGACTTAATTTTAGAGCCCCAACCTTCACTAGCATAAGGCTAAACACAATGACAGCAGCATCTATGGAAATCATTTAGTGTTTCAGTATTCTGGACAGGGAATTGTTCTCTCCAGCAGCAAACTGTCTATACCTACACTGAACAAGAGAAGGTCAAGGGCATCGGAGATGCTAGACAGGGTCTCAAAGATAGCACTCAGGCACCTAGATTGGCAGATGACCCTGGTGCACCAAGGTGGCTTGGCCCAGATAGCATCTATAGGGCCAGGGAACTTTTTGTGATAGGTCTGGAGCAAACCCCCAAGAAGACAGTTCTACCTAGAAGTTGTGGGATTTTTAAATTAAGATTGACCTTCTCTCATAGCAGGAGGGGAAGAATGAAGGGGGGGAAATCGGAGGGGTAGACGAACCATGAGAGACGATGGACTCTGAAACACAAACTGAGGGTTCTAGAGGGGAGGGGGGTGGGAGGATGGGTTAGCCTGGTGATGGGTATTGAGGAGGGCACATTCTGCATGGAGCACTGGGTGTTATGCACAAACAATGAATCATGGAACACTACATCTAAAACTAATGATGTAATGTATGGGGATTAACATAAGAATAAAAAAATTAAAAAAAAAAAGATTGACCTTCTCTCTCCTTCTTATCATCTAAACTGGAGGCCATCCTGGCTTGTAATAGAATATCCAGAATTTTTCTAGAGAAAGTCACTCTTACTTCCCTGGTTGTTCCGTAGAGGCAAAGTGTCACACAGGAAATAACATGAATGGGCAGGCCACTGCAGTGAGCTCTGCAAGCTCGTAAGCACCTACTGCTGTACAAGACCCATCACTATTCCTTTCCCCAAGCCCCCTTTGAGCTGTGTTGAATCTCTAGCCAATTCTTGAACTCTGGGGAATCTGTGATGCCCTTCCTTCCTTTCTTCCCTGATGAACTTCTATTCATCCTTAAGAACCCTGCTCAGATGTTACATCCTCCATGAACCTATGTCTCTGGTTAATCTGGACAGATAAAACTAGTTCCTTCTTTGATTAATTTCCATATCGTGTCAAATACACATCATACTTATCACACTGTACTTCAAATGCATGTTCATGTGTTTGCCTTTCCTCACCTCTAGATTATTTGCTCTTGGAAGTTAAGTATTATGTTATATTCTTCTTTGTGTCCTTAGCACCTAATGTAGTGGTTGACACAAGGCCTGCAAGTTTTACTGTTTAATTAATGAAAAAAAATAATTCTAGTGTTTGGGTGGGAGAAACATTACTTAAGAATCCAGTAGGGATACAGACTGGAAAATATGAATTGACCTCATAGAATCACAGATGATCAGGGCTGGAGACCTTAGTTATCATCATAGCAGTTCCTTGTCCTGTGGAGAAGGAAGCTCAGAAATGCTTAAAGATCGTAAGTGGTTTATCCAAGAATCATAGTGAATTGGACCAGGATGCAGCTGGGTTCCAGTCTAATGGTCAGTCAGTCTTGGCCAAATGCCCAGATGAAAAATTTGTGGACTGGATCTAGACCTTCTTTCCTAGGAGTGATGGAACCAGGCCCCAAAATGCCCACCTATTACCTGGGGACATGCCATTCTCCCTCTCCAGTGCTAAACCCAACTCTGAGAGAGCATGGCAGTGTACTTTGCCGCAGAATCTAACATTTTTAAAGGGTGTTTAGGTAAATTTCCATCTCTAGACTTGAACCCCAATTGATTATTGGAAGGTTTTTCTAGTACTGCTGAGGCAAAAGGATATTTTGAGCAGAGTGGTGAGGAAGAGGAATGGAAACATCCCAGTCCTTAATTTTATGATTTCTAGCAGCAGGAAAAACACTCCAGATGCTCTTTCAACCTCCCTGTCCACTACCTCCTCTATGTAATTAGGGACTTGGTGGCTTCATTGACATTTCCTTCTGTAGTACAAGATGAGAGAGGGTTGAAGGAAGATAAGTGGTGGGGGCCCACACTGGAAAAAACATGATAGGGAAAGGGGTTTTTGGAATTGGAGAGAGAATACAAACAGGAAGGATACAGATGTCATCTAGAAATTTTTTGGGGGGGTTACTCAATCCTTCACAAGTTCTACAATAGATATAATAGTTCATTCATTCATTCATTCATTAAAAATGTCATTCTCCTGCTTAAAGCCCTCCACTCCCTTCCCGTTACCCTTAGGATAAAACCATAGCTCCAGCTATGTCCTTGCAGACCTGGTTCCTTTTACCTCCTCATTTCATTTCCCAACGTGTTCAGCAATTTTGACTTGTTTCTACCTCAGGGCCTTTGCACTTGCTGTTCCTTTTGCCTGGAAAGTTCTCTCCCTCATTCCTTTTCATCCTTCAGATCTGAAGACCACTTCCTCCAAGAACTCTTCACTGAGCAACCTGTCTACAGGATCCCCTCGCTACACCCCGCAGTCCCCCTCTATCATCATACCTTGTGTATTTCCTTCATGACATGTAAAGATTCAGGAGATATATTGTTTATTTATATAAGACTGTAAGCTCCATAAGAGAAGAGACCCTGTCTGTCTTATTCACTGCTGGGTCCCCAGCACCCAGATCAGTGCCTAACAAATAGCAGGGGCTCAGGAAATATTGTTGAATGAAGGAAGAAAGTACTTACATATACAAGGTTTATAGAAGTGAGAGGCGAATAGAAAACTTCCATTGCTTCTAGGAACTACAACCTAAACTTACAACCTATTTTTTACAAACCTAAAAATACAACCTATTTTTTTTCTCATTTTATCATCTATATATCTTCTGATTGATAAAATTTGACTTTTGGCATGGTTCTCTGAGAGTCACAACCCAATTCTATAAGAGCTTTCTCTTATCTATCAAGTGGTCAGGTTGTCATATTTGCCACCATAACTCATCTGGATTTTTATCAAAGTACCAACTTGTTCTCAATTGTCAGGACTTTTTCTTCCATATAATTTATCTTAAGTTAGGCTGTCCCAAGTTGGGTCTACTACATCTGCATGTGTGTAATGTACAGAATAATTTCCATTTCATTGCTGGGTTAGGGGTCTGCTGGAGCAGGACCCTGGGTGTGACTGGAAGCACCTCATTGGGACCCATGGACTGCATCCAGGCAGAAACCAAGTGCTTTGACACAAGAATGGGAGGCAGGTGCCACCGTAGGTCTGTGCAAGGTCAGCCCCTGGCAATTTCAGCAGCTAGGTTCTAGGTCCTTCCTGGGTGCTGATGCTGGTAAAGTTCCAGAACTCGGGGAATAGGGTTTGTCCTATTGGCACATCCCTCCCCTCCTGCCTACGGTATAGCTATCCATCTGCTAGAGAATATGGTGAAGCACTCATCTAATGCCAGCTCTCTCATCCCACAGAGTCCTGGCCCGTGGTCGTGCTGCAGTCCAGGGGGCTGGATGGCATGCTGGACCCAAGCTCAGCTCAGCGTCCGGGCCCAATAACGGCTTTTCCAAGGGAGCAGCTTTCTGTCCTGGCCACACCGAGGTAAGCACTTGAGGGGCTTCTGCCTCACCAAGGCTCCTGGCTCTGGAGCATCCAAGACAGCTAGAAATGAGCCCCAAGCTGAAGAAGGAGAATCACATTTAACTGCTAATCAGCAGGAGCCTGGGGTGGGTCCTAGTGATCCAGCACATGTGGCCCTGGTCCGACCGGGAAAGAATTCTGCCATGCTTTTAGCTGGCCCCACAGCTTCCAGGTACATGTAAAGAGTCTGAGCTGCCCACCTCTGAAGTAACAGAACACAGGGCCTCCAGTACACAGACAGAGAACATCAGTCAGAGCCTCCACACAGCTCCTGATCTGTCTGAGCAGGCAACCTCGTGAGATGAAATGTCCTTGATCACTCTCATGCACTTGGCCATGGAATAGAAGGTGGGGAGAGCTCCAGATCTGGGGACAGAGGCCAGCACTGAGTTCCACTGCCACTGGGTGTGTGCCCACATCAGGGTACTTACTCTTACTGCCTCTCTCTGTTTTCTCCTCTGTACAATGGGAATAATAAGGCCTCCTCCCAGGTTTGTTGTGATGGTTAATGAGGTACTTATGCCCAATAAAGGATAATGATGATAATTATGATCTCCCGCATTCATTTTAAGATGTGTGTCTAAGACTGCAGACCAGTAGATCCCGTTCCCAATAAAGCCATAGTGCCTGTACCCGCTAGTGCTTTCTGGCTATGTATTTCTATCATGGGCATTTTAAGTGCTTTTGGACCAAATCTACCTGATGCCCAGAAACCTGATAAACCAAATATGAAAATAATCGCATATCCAGGTATTCCCCAGTGTCCGGATTTGTGGCATGAGGAAGGTGAAACTTACAATCTGTTGAATGGAATTCTCATTTTGATGTTGGTGAATGAGTAAGTGTAGCCATGGGTTCCAGTGAGTGGGGCCTTGGAGCTCTCTCCTCTGGAAGGTACTGAGGCTGAGTGACGCCAAGGCGGAGCCTGCCACTCACTAGCTGCAGAACCCTAGGTCACTCAGACTCCCTGACACCCGTGTCTCTCCTCTGTCTAGTTCAAGGATTGGACTAGATCACTGGTTCTCAAAATGCAGTCCCCACCCAGCAGCATCAATATCACCTGGGAGCTTGTGAGAAATGCAGATTCTTGGGCACCCAGCAATCTGCAGTTTAGCAGGCCCTCCAGGTGATTCTGATGCCCTGAACCTCTGGACGGATCATCTCTGCTGTCCTTTCCAGTCCAAGCTTCCCACGGGAGATGCCAGCAGAAGCACTCCCTGGGTTCTATCCTGGCAATGCTATTCTATGTTGTGGCCTCAGGGGTACCTCCCTGGGGAGCTGAGGAGCCACAGAATGCCTCTCACAGTCCACACAGGCCCTGACAACTGGGGGTGTCCCAGTCTTTACAACTGAAGACAGCAGCATGTTTACATTTAGAGCAAGGCCAAGAGTACAGCGAAAATGACCTTTGACCCACTCTCATAACGTGGCTGGAGGAGGAGGCTGGATTTCCTCAGCCACAGGAACTTAGCCTCACTAACACTAGTGACCCCAGTTCACTGACCCGATCTCTGGGCCCAGAATCACTAAAGCTCTAGGCACCACCCCTCTGAGGCAGGAATCATCATACTCCCCGGATAGAGAAGCTCTATGGCCATGGTCTCCAGGTGCTGTCAGCCCTCCGAGCCACAGGAATGTGGGCCATTTGCTTAGCTCCATCCAGCAGCTTCATCACCTCATCAGGTGCAGCCCGAGTCCGCGTGAAGATCACTCACCTAGTGCAGGAAATTTCTGTCATGATTGGAGCATAGGAACCACTGGAAACCCACAGAATGTACCACTGGTCCAAGACAGGGCACAAAAGTGGGGGAGCCCTGAATAAAAGGCACCCCCCCCACACACACACACACATACTCTTAATCATTTATCCTCCACTCAGGCTAGGAGCAGGACAAATACAGAACATTCAGCAGTGACACAGAACACGTTCCAACATGCGAGCCCCTAACGGCATCATCCCCAGCAGATCACTCAGCTTACAGGGCTCTGCTTAGTGAAGCCTCGGTGAGGACTGTCATGTCTTCAAGAGAAAGGCTTCAAAGCTTGTTCTTAAAAATAAATAAATAAAACTCACTCCCTGGTTCACGTCAACCAAGGAGAGAATGTTCTCTTATAAACTGCTTTTGTTCATTATATCACTAGAATAGAAATCACACTTGTTTTTTCTTTTCTTTATTTCTCCATTGATGATTTTTTAAAAGAAAGCCTTATTTAATTTAAAAAGAAATAGCTGAAGGGGATTAAAGAGTACACTTATCATGATGAGCACTGAGTAATGTATAGAATTGTTGAATCACCATATTATACACCTGAAACTCATATAACACTGTTAACTTTACTGGAACTACAATAAAGAGCTTAATGAAAATGAATAAATAAAAATAAAAATATTTGATATTGTCACTGCATTATGAGAAAATGTCAGACATGGCAATATTCTCACTTAAAAAAAAGCTAGGAAGTATATTTTAAACATAAATAAAGTTTTAAAAAAAGATTATGGGGCATGCTATTATGGGTGAGTCAGTTAAAAAAAACTTTTATGAGAGATATATTTGCAACATTTTCAAAAATCTTAATGAAGCAATCTGTCCCTGATGCAAATCTCCACTGTGATGAAATGCTGTCCGCTACCATGCATTATCCTGACAGCGAATCAAGAAGTCACAGTTGACGTTAAGAACTTTGTAAGATCGGGCGCCTGGGTGGCTCAGTCGTTAAGCGTCTGCCTTCGGCTCAGGTCATGATCCCAGGGTCCTGGGATCGAGTCCCACGTCGGGCTCCCTGCTCTGCGGGAAGCCTGCTTCTCCCTCTCCCACTCCCCCTGCTTGTGTTCCTGCTCTCGCTATGTCTCTCTCTGTCAAAAAAATAAATAAAATCTTAAAAAAAAAAAAAAAAGAGTTGCATGTTCTAAAAAAAAAGAAAAAGAAAAAAGAACTTTGTGAGATCAATTCAGTAGAACCTGCAGAGTGCCAGGCAGAGCAGCAACCTGCATAGCTACTTAAGTTTGAAGCATGTCCGAGCTGGAAGATTCCTTAAGAATCAGCAGTCACATGGAGCAGTGAAAGAGCACAGAAGCAAGGGACTCGTCCGCACACTCACTGATTCTTACAGCCAGAGCCACCTGTGAACACTAGGTCACCTGGACACAACGAAGATGAACTGGATGCTTTTCTGCCTCCAGGGAGTTTGCCTGGAGGTGGGAGAAGATGAGAACACAGCCGCCCTAAGACAACATTAAGGAAATGCTTTACAGAGGTGGAGAAGGGAGAGAGACTCTGTAGAAATAGAAAAAGGTCCCGCCCTCCCCAGTGGAGGTGGTATTTAAATTGGGTGTTAAAAGGTGATGGGAAGGACTCCAACCAACAGAGGTGGGGAGCAGAAAAGGCACAGGGAGGGCAAGGGTGAGTATGCCTGGCATAGAAGAGTCTGAACCAAGGACAACTACTCACCACTAGACCCTCTGGGCAGGTGATGTGACCAGAGCGGTGCTTCAGGAGGTTAAATGGGGTGGCTAGGGACAGTCGGGCACTGGAAGAAGAGAGATGAGGGTCCAGAACATCAGTTGGGAGACGGTTCTGTGACCTGAACTAGGAACAGGAGGTGAGAATAGAAAGTACAATTTCAAGAGATGCTACTGGGGAGCAAAATGCAAAAGGCTGGGGTGGGGAGGGCTGGGAGGAAACAGCAGAGGCCAGCGATGAGCTGAGGTTTGCAGCTGGTGAGCAAAGGGATGGTGGTTCATGTACCAGAATAAAGGAAAATGTTGGAGAAACACATTTAGGAGGGTGGGGTGCAGGGAGATGTCCACAAGTGATAGCAGCTGGGGAACTACGTCATAAGCCGTCAAGCGGTCCAAAATGGGACTGCTGCTGTTGAATACAGGGAGGGCAGTGAGTGATCAACCGAGGAGTGGGAGTGTGAAGATTTTTGCTTGGGATGCCTTGCGTTTAAAATGTCAGTATCCATGGAGAGTTGCCGGAGGTTCAGAACTGGCTTTCAAAAGAGCAGTTGGGCTAGAGATCCCGGTATGGGCATCAATCCCACAGAAATCTCAGCTGACTCCTTAGAAGAGGATGAGCTTACCAAAGGGGAGACTGGAGGAGGAGGTGGGAATCTCTCTCTGGTCATGGGAAATAGGGAGCAGGATGTCCCTTATTACCATCAAAACCCTAAATTTTAGTGGTTTCCTTTTTCCATTTCCCCATCCAAATTCTAAGTGTTAACTAATTTGGATATAAACAGACGAATTTTCAGTTTCATGTCTTCTCCCTTCTTCTATCTGATGAGAGATACCATGTATTGAGAAGAAAGAAAAGGAGCAAACCAAGGGGCTTGACTTAGCTGCCAACCAACCGAATGATCGGTTCTGTAGCAGTTGGCTGGACAATTATCTGCCACACCATTAGCCAGCAGAACCAGCAGTGGGCAAAAGCCCAGATGTACCACCACCTCCTCTGCATGGCCGGCTGGAGGACTGGAGTAAACACCAATGTTTTTCAAAGTAACCCAAGAGAAAAGAATTTGGTAGTTTTATTCTTGGTATCTCACCAAAGAGCTGCCTGTTTCCAGCTGGAAAAAAAAGCACAGTATTGAAGAGAAGAATGCATCATTTTGAAACAGATTAGGAACACAGCATGCAGCCATATCATCCACAAAATCCAAAAGAAAGCATGTACCACAATGAAAAGAAGGCAGGGAGTGAGCTTCTCGCACCATCCCCATTCACTGCTTCATTCATTCACCTTATATTTTTTTTTAAAGATTTTATTTATTTATTTGAGAGAGAGAGAATGAGAGACAGAGAGCATGAGAGGGAGGAAGGTCAGAGGGAGAAGCAGACTCCCTGCCGAGCAGGGAGCCCGATGCGGGACTCGATCCAGGGACTCCAGGATCATGACCTGAGCCGAAGGCAGTCGCTTAGCCAACTGAGCCACCCAGGCGCCCCATTCACCTTATATTTTGGAGGACCTACTATATGCCAGCACTGCACATGGCCCCGGAAATATATAACTCCAAACAGCACAGCTTCTAAAGTGCTCTCAAGGTACTCGATTATCCACCACACTAGGGAAGGTGATAAGGTAATGCACAAGCCACCATGAAAGACAAGAGAGGTGCACACCGAGGATGGAGTGACTAGGGCAGGTGGATGAGACACGGCTCTGCACTCCAGGGCCTTGCAGCCAGTGGGGAGACAGGCTCAAATCCTCAGGCTCGAAAAGAAGCCCAGTTGAGGCAATGAGTATGCTATGAAAAGGTGTGAATGGAGTAGGCTCAGACAGCAAACAAGCAGCAGTGTGACTGAAGAAGATAAAGTCCGTCATGGTCAACACAGGACATTGGAATGACTCAGAATTAAGTAGATGTGTGCGCACCTTTCAATCCTCGCAACAACCCTGTGAAATAGTGGTTACAATTTTACCAATGAGGAAACTAAGGCTCAGAAAGATTAAGTGACTTCCCTCTGCTAGCAAGTAGCCGAGCCGGGAATCCAAACAAGGTTTTCTAACCCCAGATCCAATGCAGAATGACCCGTGGGAATGGGAAGAAAAAGGGGGAAAGGATGGAATAGAAAGTTAGAGCACCCTCTCTAGGGGATGTCTCTAACCCTACCAAGATTTAGGGAAGCTTCACAGAGGAGGTGACATTTGATATCCATCCACAGGTGTGACTGGGACCTCCACAGTTAGCTGCCCTAGGGGTGGTCACTGGTGGGCAACTCTGGTACAGTGTGGAGCCCTGTCTGGCCCGTGCTCCAAAGGGGCTTGTACTGTCTCATGGGGACAGATGATTTCTGCCATTTGCTCTATACTCACCTAGGAGTAAATAATAAAAAGAAAAGGCATGTTTAAGAACGGAAGACAAGGGCACCTGGTGGCTCAGTCAACTGGGCGTCTGCCTTCCCCCCAGGTCATGATCCCGAAGTCTAGAGATCGAGTCCCGCATCGGGCTCTCTGCTCAGCAGGGAGTCTGCTTCTCCCTCTGCCCCTCCCCCTGCTCATGTTCTCTCTCTCTCTCTCAAATGAATAAATAAAATCTTAAAAAAAAAAAAGAATGAAAGACAAAGCGAGGGGGAAGGAAGGAAGGGTAGACTGGTTTAGTAAGGGGTCAGCTTTGGGTTCTGTTCCTAGTTGTGCTGATGACTTTAGGCCTCTTGGTTAATTTTCTGTGGCTCACTTTCCTCGTATATGAAAGAAAGATGATAAATCCTAACCGAAGTCACAGACTAATGAGAAATTAGAAATGAATGCACTTGAGAAGTTTTAAAATGTCACACAACAAGGAGCTGTTATCAGCATCGATATTTCTTTTTTTTTTAAAGATTTTATTTATTTATTTGAGAGAGAATGAGAGAGAGCACATGAGAGGGGGGAGGGTCAGAGGGAGAAGCAGACTCCCCGCTGAGCAGGGAGCCCGATGCGGGACTCGATCCCGGGACTCCAGGATCATGACCTGAGCCGAAGGCAGTCGCTTAACCAACTGAGCCACCCAGGCGCCCCAGCATCGATATTTCTAAGTGCTGGCTGGTGGCTGAAGAGGCTGGCAATGCCGGTCCCAGAGCTATATACTTTTTTTGCCAAACATGATGCTTCATGGGTTTGTAACGAGGGTTCTGAGTCACCAGATCTCAGAGCTGACCCAGTGCTGCTGTCTGAAGAGGGTGTATTCAGGGCTGAGGCTTCAAGACAAGTCCCCGGCAACCCTTCCCAGGGGACTCAAGCCGTTGGGCTCGACACAGTGCTAAGGACAGGGGTCAGACACATACTGTCCACCCACAGCTGCCTCAAGGACTCAAAGGACCCTGCATATGTGCTGCCAAATTCACATGGTGCCCGAGGGCGGAATTTCAGGGGCTCTGTCCCTTCCTGAAAAAGCCCAGCCCGTGAATGGCGTGACCATACCTCCAGGTCATCTGAGCCAGCCCTGTTTACGCCTATTGTCCTATGTCATTGTGTCCAGCAGCCCCTCTCGCTCTCAGAAGTCTCTCGGTTTGAATGGTAAATTCCAGGGTCACCTTGCCCTTAGACTCCCAGGTGAAATAAACCTCCTTGTGATCCTCTCGGGAGGTCAAGACCCAGAAACTGCCTTCGTACGGAACTTCGCGCCCCCCAGACTAATCCCTGTTTCTGTTTCCTCCCAGGTGCATAGCGTAATGTCCATGTTGTTCTACACTCTGATCACAGCTCTTTTGATCGGCATCCAGGCAGAACCCCATCCCGAGAGCCATGTCCCAGCAGGACACGCCATCCCCCAAGCCCACTGGACTAAGCTTCAGCATTCCCTCGACACAGCCCTCCGCAGAGCCCGCAGCGCCCCAGCGGGGGCAATAGCTGCAAGGGTGGCAGGGCAGACCCGCAACATCACTGTGGACCCCAAACTCTTTAAAAAGCGGCGACTGCGCTCACCCCGCGTGCTCTTCAGCACGCACCCCCCACCTGTGGCGGCAGATACTCAGGATCTGGACGTGGAGGCCGGCGGTGCCGCCTCCGCGAACAGGACTCACAGGAGCAAGCGGTCATCGTCCCACCCTGTCTTCCACCGGGGGGAGTTCTCGGTGTGCGACAGCGTCAGCGTGTGGGTGGGGGACAAGACCACCGCCACGGACATCAAGGGCAAGGAGGTGATGGTGTTGGGAGAGGTGAACATTAACAACAGTGTGTTCAAACAGTACTTTTTTGAGACCAAGTGCCGGGACCCCACGCCCGTGGACAGCGGGTGCAGGGGCATTGACTCCAAGCACTGGAACTCATATTGTACCACGACCCACACCTTCGTCAAGGCGCTGACCATGGACGGCAAGCAGGCTGCCTGGCGGTTTATCCGGATCGACACAGCCTGTGTGTGCGTGCTCAGCAGGAAGGCCGGGAGAAGAGCCTGACCTGCAGGACGGCCCCCACCCTCCCCGAGCTCCCCCTCCACACCCTCCTGGGCCCCTCCCTACCTCAACCTGTAAATTATTTTAAATTATAAGGACTGCATGGTAATTTATAGTTTATACAGTTTTAAAAAATCATTATTTATTAAATTTTTGGAAGCATCCCGTGTGCCGGCACTCCAGTCATTTTCCCCAGTGTGACCCTCTGCAAGTCTCGGGACATTGCAGGGTGTAATCCCCGTAGCGTCACCTGGCTGTCACCCTCACCCCACCCCAGCCAGCTCTGCAAACTTCAGGGAAGGCTGACTGGGTTCACAGATTCACCTAAGCCGGACATGATTAGAAAGGGAAGTCTGCTGGATTACAGCTTTGATCTGCCTTCCAGAGCCAAAACTACCTAATCCTTGGATTACCTGGCCCACTGCCCCAATGCATGAGCCTCGGGAAGTTTGTGGAGCCTCGGCAAGTTTGTGGAGCCTCGGCAGAAACCGGTCCGCCACCTCAGAGTCCCGGAGGGACTCACCATATAGTAGGAGGAGGCTTGCACCAAAGACCTATGGGGCTGGCTTGTTTTTAGGGGGAGATCTGCTTTTGGCTGAAATGCTGTCTGGAAGAATGGTAATGAAATAATCTCATGAGAGCTGTCATGGTAGATCTGATTTCATGTTCAGACTGCCTTAGGACTAATGGCGGGTCCTCCATTTATCCTCCAGAGGCTTCCTGCAGAAAGACTTCATTACCCAAGAACACATGGGGGCCTCCATCACTCTTGCCACCCACTGAGGCCCCACAGCAGCTTCCAACGGCCCCAACGTTGGCCTGTAATCAGGGGGGCCAGAGACCTTCCCAGAAAGAACTTTTTGATTTCTAATTGGGTGATTTCCACAAGTGACCGAAGGTGGGAGGGGTCAGGGAAACTGGAGAGTAGATTGCTGGGGGAGAAAAGAGGTAAACAGAGTGAGAACCGACACAAAAGCCAGGGAGGTGCAGAGGAAAGGTGGGCCAAGCCAGAAGGGAACAGTGACTGCCTGCTCCTCCCTGACGGGGGAGAGTGAACAGGAGAGAGGAGAGGAGAGACAGGTGAGGTGGGGGCCACGGGGCAGAACGAGGAGGAACGTGTGTCATGTTTACCAGCATCGGTATCCTGGGCCTCCAGAAACTCCCAACACCCTGAGTAGTTGTGTTTGGGGGGTGGTAATGCTAATCAACACTGACTACTTCAAGAGCTCCTGGCCAGATATGGGGGTGAAAGACTCCAGGGGCCAGTCTGGAGCGGGGCTCCACCCATCCTCCACCTTCCCCTGTAACTTTTTTAGTTTTTCCCTGAAGGCACATTTTTTCCCCCAGCGGAGAACTTACATTGAAATGGAATTTCTGCTTTCCTAGCCATCCCTTCCTGCCCAGGGTGAAAGGCCTACTCTAGTTTTTAGACCCAAATTGTCCCTCTGATTAAAAAAAAAAAAAGCAAATGGTCGTATTCATTCCTCTGTAACTTCGTCTATCCCACCCGCTCCCCAACCCAATCCAAATAGGGCCAATTAGAAACGTAGAGAGCTTTGGCAAGTGAGGCATTTGATTAGGGTGAAAAGCATGATGAAATGAGCCCTGTTTTTCCTATCAAAGCTACTGCAGTTGGAATAAAGATTCATGCTCAAGAAACACCAACCAGAACATTGCATGCCGAGATGCTTGGTCAGATAAAGGCTGGGGAGAGGGAGCCCTCCCACCGGCCTGTGTCTGCAGCTTTTTCCCTGGGCTCCAGGGCCCGTGGCCTCAGCCCTCCTGGCTCCGCCTGAAGACCGCTCCTGGGGGGCCTTCCTCCTCGGGCTGGCAGTCCTGCGGGGTCCTGGCTATGCGAGGGTGGGCAGTGAGGGCGGCATTTCAGAAGCTCCCAGCCCCGAAGAAGCTTCGTTGGTGAGCAGCTACACCAGCATGAAGAGTCTGGGGAGCTCATCCCCGCACTGCAGGCCACTGGGACATCTAAAATACATATTCTGGACTCTCCTGGCCTGTCTGGAGGGAAGGCAGCCTCCAAGCCTCTGAGGAAGGACGGAGGCCAAGGGTCAGGGAAGAGAGTTCCGGAACCTGGACTGGATCGCCCGACGGAAGAACCAAGCAGCACTCGGAGATCTCGGAGGATAGGAGGTTTATTCAACGTCAGCGAGCTCAGAGGAGAGTGGTCTCCAAAGGTCTGAGCGCCGAGCACAAAGGGGGCAATTTATACACTTCTACTTAGGCATACTTGGCACTTTTGGTGCGATCGCGAAGCGGGGCAGGGAGAAGAACCCGGATTGGTGCGCGCGGGAAGCAGAGCGGGGAGAAGAACCCGGATTGGTGCGCGTGGGAAGCAGAGCAGGGAGAAGAACCCGGATTGGTGCACGCAGGAAGCAGAGCGGGGAGAAGAACCCGGATTGGTGCGCGCAGGAAGCAGAGAGGGGAGAAGAACCCGGATTGGTGCATGCGCGAAGCGGGGCAGGAAGGAAGACCCGGATTGGTGCGCACGGGAAGCAGAGCGGGGAGAGGAGCCCCAAGGCAAGGACTGGGACTCTCTCCCTGGCTTGGTCGGCCATCTTAGGACACAGATTTTCCTTATCAAGAGGAGCCCCCCACCCCCACCCCACTAACACCAAGGCCTTCCCCAAAGGCAACAGAGCGTGAGGCCCAGCTCCCGAGTGGCCGTGTGGGAGGCAGTGTTTTCACGCCATGCGCAGGAATATCAGTTTGGCCCAAGAGAGTTGGAGCAATCCAAAAACAACCCCAAGCCTGGTGGTTGTGCAGCTTGCACTCTGCCCCCACAACCCAGGGGGGAGTCTGGCTTCCACACCCACCCCAGCTGCCTCAGAGAGGCTGGCCCAGGTCATCAGGGCGCCAGACACTTGAACACATTGATATAATAGCTCACAACCACCCATTATGTCCCCCTGAGGGGCCGCAGCTGCGGAGCCCCCCAGCCCTTCCTCCACTCACCACACTGAGATTTCCCGCCCAGTTCCCCCAAAGCCCGGAGAGTCGGAGCAGATCCCCTCCCCTCGGCAGGCAGCTTCCTCCACCGGAAGGCCTCCCTCTAGCATGCCAAAGAAAACTAGTGCAGACCCGGGCTCGTCCTCAGCCGGACATAGCCCAGGCCTCCGAGCAAAGCAAAAGTCCTGGTTCTGGGAAATGAGAGCAAGATGGGGCCTGACTCTGGTGTATATTCCAAGTCTGTCCCTCTGACCTCCCCTCCCCCAGCCAGGGCACTAGGCACCCCTAGCTCTGCTTCTGCCACTAGCAAAACACCTACCACAGAGAGACAGATTTTCAGCAGCCAGCAAACGGCTAGCTAGTTTCATCCCCATGAGATATGGGAATGCTCTTCTTCGAAGTCTCACCACTTTCTCCTCTGTATAATCTGCATTATGGGAGAAGGCTCCACCCCAGACCTGGAGGACAGAGGACACAGGGGCAGGGTCTGCCCCTCAAGGGCCACATGTTCTCTGCTCCTTGAAGAAAAGGGGGCATTCGGAATGGGGGTGCAGAAGTGAGTGCAAGTGTGGGCTATGAAGATTACAAGGGCCCAACTGGGCAGTGACCTCAGGCTTTCTTCCATGGGCCTGAATGGAAGAGCGGGAGCCCTCAGGCCCCTGGTGCTGAGGAAGCAGCTGGGTGTGATGCCACCGACAAGGGGCACCACATCCTATGCAAGCGCAAGGCAAAGGAATTTATCCTCAACAGAACAATTCCTGTGCTGATTGTAGGAAGGTAACAACTATGCTGGTACTCAGGAAACATTGGTTTATTGGCCAAGGTATCAATCGGGTAAAGGAAACCATCTGGTCCGTGGACTTCATGGAAACTGAATGTGACCATGGCATAGCCAGGCCCAGAAAGGTCAAGAGCAAGGGAGTGGGCTGTGGAGTCAGACAAGCCAGGTACTTCTACTTAGGCTGTGTGATCTTAGGCAAATTGCTTCACTTCTCTGAGTTTCCATTTCTTCATCTGTGAAATGGGCATAAGAGTAGCACTTTCTCAGAGAGCCTAGAGATGATTATAGGAGACAATATGCAAATATACACAAGCACCTGGCACTTCAGAAGTATGTAATAAATTTTAGTTTTGAAAAGCCCAGTTGGCTGCAAAACCCTAAAAGGATGTTAGAACAGGGTGGAAGGCAGTTCATGAACAGAAAGTTTCGTAGTTGCCTCATAGGTTCCTTCCATGACAGGCAATATTAATATGACTGCTAAGCAGTTCATGTGGCTAAGCTCTGAGCAAGCCTCTGGGTTCTAAAACTAAGACCACCTTAAGGAGAGTGCCACAAGTCTGGGCTTTCTGTTTGCATGCCTCGCGGCCAGAGGACTACTCCACGGTTCTCTGGGATGTGTTTACTCCTCCAGCCTCTGGCAAGTTTTTAAACCATTGGCTCTGAGCATTTCCATGTGTCAAGCATGTGGGATCTGTTTTGTTCCAGTTCACTTGGGTCTGCAACCAAAAAAAGCTGTGACCTTCTCAGCATTCACCTGGGTTTGTGGAGATGGCTCAGGAGGTCCAGGGCCAAGATTAAATTCCTGCAGCAGAAGCCTGAAGAGACTCCCTGCAACCCAGGGCTGCTCCTTAAAATCCAGGATGTGTTCCATCTGTGTTTCCCTTGGCATCCGGCCCAATCTTGCATGTGATAGGCACTCAATCAGTGCCTTAGGGCAGGTAAGAGAGAATTTAATTCCCATCTTCTTCTCCAGCACCTTCACCACTCCCACCCTGTCTGTGCCTACCCTGTGTCAGCAATAAACGGGTTAAATGGTTAAAGACAAAGTCCTTCCTGAGGCCACTGCATGAGAGTCATCCTAGAAGCTTTCGGAGGTTGGTGTCATGGCAATGAGCATATTCAGACTGCCACGGTCGAATCCGGGCCTCACCATAAGCTTGGCTGAGTGATATCAGACAAATTACCTTATTTCTCTGCACTTCAGTTTTCTTATACAGAAAATATGGATGATAATAATAGAACCTACTTTGTTGAGTAGTAAGGCACTTAGTCCAGTGCTTGGCACATTGTAAATTATTGTATTTAAGACATATGTAAATACACACACGACTATATATACATATATGCCCACATATAGACAACAACATACAAATACACACACACAGAGAGCCCTCTCGAGCTAAGAAGCAGCCACGAAGTGCACCGCCTACACTCACATGCAC